ATGTCCTGTGTGTGGATTAGTATCCTCAGGAGGCTGAGGCAGGGGGATCCTTGCGAGTTCAAGGCCAGCCTGGGCTACAGAGTGAGTTCAACACCAGCCTGAATAGCCAGATGTGGTGGCGCACACCTGTAATCCCAGCACTCTGGAGGCTCATGCAGAGGATCATTGTGAGTTGGACACCAGCTTAGGCTACAAAGTGAGCTCAAGAATAGCTGGGTGTGGTGGCGCATGCCTATCATCCCAGCACTTGGGAGGCTGAGGCAGGAGGATGGTTGTGAGCTTGAGACCAGTGTGGGCTACAAAGTGAGCTCAAGGCCAGCCTGAACTGCATAGCAAAACCCTGTCTCAATAAGACCAAAAAGGGGCTGGGGATTTAGCTCAGTGGCAAAGCGCCTGCCTGGCAAGCGCAAGGTCGTGAGTTCGGTTCCCGGTACCGGAGAAAAACCAAAACCAAAAAAAAAAAAAAAAAAGACTAAGACTGCTAAAACTAAAGACAAGGCCAAGACTACAGATTATAGGGGCTGGGATGTAGTTCAGTGGCACAGTGTCTGCCTGGCAAGCATGAGGTCCTGAGTTTGATTCCAGGTACCAAAAAAAAAAAAAAAAAAAGATTACTGGCCAAGGTTGATGATGTCACTCGTGTAGCCTTGCTACCATTGGGTCAATATTACTGAAGTGGCTATATTTGCAACCTTATTGGTTGATCGTAATTTTGACCCACATTGTACCAGCCTCACAATTTTACCCTGTCAAACTTCCTTTGAGAGGTGGGCTCGCTGGCAGCCCATTCATTCAGGACCCCTCCTGTCTCTTAGGAGCTATTCTTATTCCCCATTGCTGTTCTCCAATAAATTTTCCTACTTCACCTCCATTGTTTCTTAGAATTCATTCTTCAGCTTTGGGGAACACAAACTCAGTGTATTTTTTTTTTTTTTTTTTCAAACTCAGTGTATTTGACATCCAGGATTTCCCCTATGTCACTCCCGTTGCTTTTTTTTTTTGGTCTTTTTGAGACAGGGTCTCACTGTGCAGTTTAGGCTGGCCTTGAGCTCACTTTGTAGCCCAGGCGGGTCTCGAACTCACAACGATCCTCCTGCCTCAGCCTCCCGAGTGCTGGGATGACAGGCGTGCGCCACCACGCCTGGCTTTGGCTAGCTTGCTTAAATGTGGTATAAACTGATTTTCTTGGGGCCAGGGGGAACTTTGGCCTGGGAAATGCTAACCAAGAGGGAAGATGCTTGATCACTGTGGTGCACGCCGACCACAGATGAACAGAGTTTGGTGGTGAGAGGAGGCCCCACTACATTGCCCAGGCTGAAGGAGTTCTGGGCTTCTCCTGCCTCAGCCTCCCCACTTAGTCCTTGAATGACAGGTACACAGCATCATCCCTGGCTCCCATACATTGACTCTGATCATGATCTTTCTGCGGGGGCATGGTCTTCTCTTCCATCAACAAATGTTGGCTAAAGTATGGGTTCAAGGAACAGAGAATCACTATAAATAACTGGCAAGTTAGTGACCCACCAAGGCGTGTTAGGAACCCGCACATGAAAGTCAGATGAGTGGGATGGACAGTGAAGAAATGCTTGCACTTTGTTCAACAAATGGTGAAGCTTTTTGTGTGTGGGTATGCGGTACTGGGGATTGAACCCAGGGCCTTCACCACGAGCCATACCCCCAGTCTTTTTTTTTTTTATTATTACTATCAATGTTGACACAGGGTCTTGCTAAATTGCTAGTCTGGATTAGACCTTGCAATCCTCCTGCTTCAGCCTCCCAGAGAGCTGGAATTAGAGCTATGTATCCCTGGCCCAGTTTAATGGGTCAAGTTCTCCTGAAGGGTGGAAAGGATTTCAATAAAAGTACAGGGAGTTGAGCCGGGTGTGGTGGTGCATGCCTGTAACCCCAGCATTTGGGAGGCTGAGGAAGGAGGATTGCTGAAAATTCTAGGCCAGCCTGAACTACGTAGTGAGACCCTGTCTCAAAAAGAAATTAAAAAAAAAAAAAAAAATTCAAGGCCAGCCTGGGCAATTTAGCTAGACCCTGTCTTTGTTTTGAGACAGTTTCACTATGTAGGTCAGACAGGCCTTGAATTTACAGTGTAGCACTTGAACTTTCCTGTAATCCTCCTGCCTCAGCCTCCCTGGTACAAGGATTACAGATGTGTGCCACCACAACCACCTTAGATCCTGTCAATTTTTTGTTTTAAAACCAGGGATAATGCTGGGCGTGGTGGTGCACGCCTGTAATCCCAGCACTCGGGAGGCTGAGGCAGGAGGATTACTCGGAGTTCGAGGCCAGCCTGAGCTACAAAGTGAGCTCAAGGCCAGCCTGAACTGCTTAGCAGGACCTTGTCTCAAATAGACAAACAACGACCAGGGATATAGCTCAGCAGCATAAGCCCTTGCCTGGCAAGTCTGAGGTCATGTGTTCGATTCCCGATACCAAAAAAAAAAAAAAAAAAAAAAAGACAAAAAAAACAAAACAAGCAAACAAAGGAAAACTCAGGTATATAATTCAGAGCTCCCTAGGTTCAATACCCAGTACTGGGGTGAAAAAAGCAAGTGGATTGGGGGTGTCTCTGACAGGCAGAGTGGACGCATAACTGGCCGGATAGAACCTGTGGGAAGCGTTAGGTGCGGGTACAGTTGGCCTGGATGGGGCTGAGCACTGGAGAGGGGGTGTGGACGGAGGGACTGGGGTCACACGGCCAGTGACCACTGTCCAGCTCGGTCCCCAGGCCTCTAGAATCTGCTAAGTGGGGAGTGGAGCCCAGGCCTGGACTCTGGGCCGTGTCACTTCGGGCAGCTGTTGCGCGCCCCTGTCATGCGACGGAAGTTTCTTTTTCCTCTCTGAAAAGAGGGAGATTCCTGTTCCCGGGGGCGTCTCCTAGTCATCCACAGCGCACCCACAAAGGGGGCACCGTGCCCTTTCCTAGGATAATAAACCCAGAGGGGGTGTCTGGGCCTTGCCGTAAGAGCAGCATCCGTAGCCGGGCGTGGTGGCGCACGCCTGTAATCCCAGCACTCGGGAGGCTGAGGCAGGAGGATCGTTGTGAGTTTGAGACCAGCCTGGGCTACAAAGTGAGCTCAAGGCCAGCCTG